ACTGTAGACTAAGAAGCTGTTATCCAACAGAGCAAAGGAACACTTTATGGCTTAAATTAAGAAAATTATACACTGTATCCTTTCTCCATACCTATCTAACCTATATTCCTAGCAAATCACTAAAGAGGCTAGAATGAAGAAGAAAGTGGTGTGAGGATCCGAGGAAGACTTAACAGCCTGCGTTATGCAGATGACACAACCTTGCATGATGAAAGTAAAGAGGATTTAAAATGCTTGCTGAAGAAAATCAAAGACTACAGCCTTCAATATGGATTACATCTCAACATCAAGAAGACAAAAATCCTCACCACTGGGCCAATAAACAGCATCATGAGAGAAGGAGAAAATATAGAAGCTGTCAGTAATATCATTTTGCTTAGAGCCACAATCTGCACTTTTGGCACCAGCAGTCAAAAAATTAAAAAAAAAAATGGCTAAGTCTGCTGTCAAAGACCTCTCTAAGATGTTAAGGAGCAATGATGTCAGTTTAAAGACTAGGGTACATCTGTTTCAAGCCATGGCCTTTTAAATTATTTTTATGCATCTGCAAATTGGACAATGACAGAAGAATTGATGACTTTGAGTTGTGGTATTGGAAAAGAATACTGAATATCCCATGAACAGCCAAAAAGCATAAACAAGTATATCTTGGAGGAAGTGCCCCCGGGGTTGTTCCTTGGAGACAAGGATGGTGAAACTTCATCTCACAGATTTTGGCCATATTTTTGGCCAAGATGGGAAAAGGTCCTTGGAAAAAAACATCATACTTGGAAAGGTGGTGGGTCACTAAAAGAGAGGAAGACCCTCAACGAGATGAATTGACATAGAGACTGTAGAAATTGGCTTATTAGAGGTGATTTAGAGGTGATGAGTATGACACAGGGTAAGGTGCAAATCTGTTGTTCCTAGAGTTGCTATGAGTCATAGTCAATTCATAGTGGTAGGGCACCTACCAACAACAACATCCACATTCTCACCTGGGAATTCACTTCTCTCTGCCTTCTTATCTCTATCTAGCCCTGGGTCTAACTTTTAATCTTTTCTTTTAGTTATTTAACTACCATCCTTTGTACCCAAAGCCAAAAAGCCCTCCTTCCAGGGACACATCTCTTGTTTCTTTTTCTATTTAAGCCAACTATAAGCTCTATCAGCTTTAAACAATAACTTAAGTATCATGTCGTCCTGAACAGAAAAGCTTATTAGAACCAAATCTTTTCTAAGACTAGAAATTGAAATTCACCTAAACCTCAGTGTTGTTGTTGTTGTTATTAGGTGTCACTGAGTACAACTCAGATGAACAACAGATGTGAACCCAATCCTATCCTGTGGCATCCTCACAATCTCTGATACCCTCAAGCCCATTATTGTAGTCACTGCATTAATCCATTTCATTGAGGGTCTTCCTCTCCTTCACCATCTCTCCACCTTTCTAAACATGATGTCCCTCTTCAAAGAATATCCTCTCCTAACGACATACCCAAAGTATGTGAGACAAAACTTCATCATCTTTGCCTCCAAGGAGCTCTCTGGCTGTACCCTCTCCAAGACATATCTATTTGTTCTTTTGGTTATCCGTCGGATATTCAGTACTCTTTTCCAATACCACGACACAAAAATATCAATTCTTCTGTCATCCTCTGTCATTGTCCAGCTCTCCAATGCATAACCATAAGAGGAAGTCTATGGTCTCAGAACCTTACCAGGAAATTTAGTATAAGGTATCATGTTGTCCCAGATGACCAAAAAGCAGGAAGGATTGTCAAACGACAGTTGGACCATGGAAGGTCAAGAATGAGAACTGAAAACAGCAAGCAATCAAGGCTACTACCCTCTCAGATTCTCTCCTTAACTGGAAACACATAATTCCTCAACACCATCTCACTGTGTATCGTCTTTCATTTTCTCTATTCAATGTTTTTTTTCTACTGTGGTGTTTTTGTTGTTATTATGTGCCATTGAGGGGTCTGCAATCCATAGTGAGCCTATGTACAGCAGCTCTGAACCCTTCCCCATCCTGAGCCAGACTCACTAATTCCAACACCAATCCCCATCACTCCAGTTACTGTATCAAGCCATCTCATCTGCGATTTTCCCTCTGGTGCTGTCTACCATCCTTCCAGGCATGATGTCCTTCTCCAAGGACCAGTCTCTCCTTGCCAAGTGCCCAAAGTATGTGATATGGAACTTTATTCCTACTCTGTTTACTTGGTTGCAATTGCTCATTGTAAATCTCCAAAATTTATACTTTCTCAAGCTTAGCAACGATCAGAGGCTGAGTTGTTGCTGTTGTTAGGTACCATCAAGTCGAATACAACTCATAATTACTCCAAGAACAACAGATCTGAACCTTGCTATATCCTGTACGCCTTCACAAAGTCACATATGCTCAAGTTGTCCATTGATGCAGTCACTGTGTCAGTCTATCTTGTTAAAGGTCTTCCTCTTTTTTCTGACCCTCCACCTTTTCCAAGATGATGTCTTTTTCCAAGGACTAGTCCCTCCTCCCCCAACAACATGTTTAAAGCACGTGAGATGAAGTTTCACAGTCCTTGCCTTTAAAGAGCACCTTGTTTGTACTTCCTCCCAGAGAGAATTATTTGTTCTTTTGGCAGTTTGTAGGCTACTCAGTATTTTTCTCCAACACTACAATTCAATGGCATTGATTCTTCTGTCATCCTTAGTTGCTGCCTGACTTTCAGATTCCCAACTTGCTCTGTTTGGACAGCTGCTTCTTGGTCAAGGCATCAGTTTCACATGAGAACAGTTATGTGTTCTGGGATTCCCCTCTTGTCAGTGTCAGCCATAATTTGCCATGTTCCATACAATCAAATGACTTTTCATAATCAAGAAAAGATAAGTAAACATTTTTTATAGTCTGTTTTCAACCAAGATCTATCTGACATTAGCAGTGCTGTCGCTCATGCTCTAACCTCTTCTTCAGCTTGAATTTGTAACAGTTCTCTGTCAATGAATTCCAGCCTTTTAAAAATAATCCACAGGATTCAGAATCCCAGAAGAAGGATGGTGCCCACTTACATTACAAACAGCTCCCAGAGCAGTCATAAATCCATAGGGGCTAAGGGTCTACCACCACTGGAAAAAACAAAACAAACCAAACCTCTTCTGCCACATGAACAGATATTTACACACTCGTGTTCATTATGGCATTATTTACATTAGCAAAGTCATGCAAACAACAAGTGTCCATCAACAGACAAATTAATAAAGTATGATACATTCATACAATGGACTACTATGCAACACAAACTATAAGGAATTAACTTTATAGCATCTAAAGGGCATTATGCTACATGAAGTAGGTCAATGACAAAAGAACTATTATTATAGTATAAATCAGTATTGTAAGAGGCTAAGAAAAGGTTTTAGGAGTTCTGGTGATATATCCCATAGCAAATGCCACTGTTAACCCAAAGGCTAAGAGTCTCCATCAGAAATTCAAATCCATCAGAATCTCCACAAGAGAAAGATAAATGCTCTCAACCCAACAGAAGGTCACTTTAAGCGGAAACCAATTTAACAATTAACTCTGAGAAGAATGGGAATCACAGAACACTTGACAGTTCTAAGGTGAAACCTATACTTGGGCCAGGAGGCAGTCGTCAGAACAGAGCAAGGGAACACTGCATGGTTCAAAATTGGGAAGGGCATACGCCAGGGATGCATCATATCTCCTCCATACCTTTTCAACCTGTATGCAGAACAGATCATACGGGAGGCTGGGCTCTGTGAGGAGAAATGTGCGGTCAAGATTGGTGGACGATTTATCAACAATCTGCGTTATGCAGATGACACAACCCTGCTGGCTGAAACTGAAGAGGACCTGAAGCACCTGCTGCAGAGGGTAAAGGACTATAGCCTCCAATATGGATTGAGGCTCAATGTCAGGAAGACAAAGATTCTCACCACTGGGCCAATTGGAAGCATCGGGATGGATGGTGAAGAGATTGAGATTGTTCACAGCTTTAGTTTGCTAGTCAACAGTCAACAGTCAACAGTCTTGGCACCAGCAGCCAGGAAATTAAAAGGCGCATTGCCATGGGAAAGTCTGCTGTTAGGGACCTCTCCAAAGTGCTGAGAGCAATGGTGTCTCTCTGGAGACTAAGGTGCGTCTGATATAGGCTATGGTCTTTGCAATCCCTTGTTATGCATCAGAGAGTTGGACAATGACCAGGGAGGATAGAAGGAGAATTGATGCCTTTGAGCTGTGGTGCTGGAGAAGAGTATTGAGAATACCATGGAGTGCTAGGAAAACAAACAGATTCATCCTGGAAAGGGTTAAACCGGGTGGCTCCTTGGAGGCAAGGATTCTGAGGCTCCGTCTAACATACTTTGGACATGTTGTGAGGAGAGACCGGTCCTTGGAGAAGGACATCATGCTTGGGAGGGTGGAGGGACAGCGCAGGAGAGGAAGGCCCTCTATGAGGTGGACTGATTCAGTGACTGGGGTAATGCTTGTGGGTGTATCAGAGACAGTGCGATTGGCACAAGACAGAGCAGAGTTTAGGGCTGTTGAACATAGGGTCGCTATGAGTCGCAAGTGACTCGATGGCACATAACAACAACAACAAGAAGTAAGAAGGAAAAGTTTATACACAGAGTCATTTTTCAGTGGTTACCAGATATGAGAAGGGAGTGAAAAGGGAGTAAAAATTAATGAATAGGAAAGTTGAATGGAAAGAAAGGCAATTTACGAGAAGAGGTTGTTCAGGCATTGTAATTCATTAAGGACATTAATAAATTATAATTAATGTTATAAAACAAAAGTGTATGAGTGGTTGAATGAAATTACAATTACGTTTTAAAACAGAGAGCAAGTCTTAGAGCGGATGCTGCCTTGACTGGATAACCCCAAAGTCCATGACAGCAACATTACAACATTAAGAAGTTTAATAGAATGGCATATAGTTTCTCCTCAAGACCTAGTGATAGCTGCTTGTTTGGGGGCTGCAAAGAAATCAGTACAGAACCTGTCCAGCTCATCAGTCAAAACTTTTAGTGGCTGGGGCAACTTCCAGGAGCAGCTGGAGATGTAGGGTGGCCATCTTCAAACACTTGGGCTGGCACCGGAAGGAGATAAATAGGAAATACACCAGGATACCACTGACCAGGAACAGGAAGACGTAAAGGAACTCCATCTGGGGATGGTCAATGATGGGCGCCAGGACCAGGTAGACAGAAGCCAGGAGCATGATGACAGGGATGACGGTGGGAACCTGCAATGAACAAAGAGTTGCTATTTGGCCCTGGGACTTGGATGAAGAAAGGTATGGGTGGTGGAGAATGAACCCAGGGCTCTGTCCTTCCTGCCTATGTTCCTAATGTTTCCACCTACCACTGGCTCCTCTCCAGTTCCAGCCCTCATGCACTGGCTAGGCCAGCGATGCCACCTGCTGGAATACATGGGATTAGATACTCCAAGGAGCAGAGGTTTGGGACCCAGAATTATCCTTCTACACTATGTGAACCCAAATACGCATATGCTTCCCAGCCTTTCTGTGTGTGTCTTCTTTTGTTTTCCATCAAAGTCTTCCTAAGGATAAATGAATCCCAACATGGTGATCTAGTTGTCCTCATTGTCCCAGTACCACCTGTTATGGAAAGGCATACAATTCTGAAGATGATGCCTTGCCACAGAAATATGGAAATTCTATACCAAACATAATGACAGTGGCAACCCTTTATATTATTCTTTGGGGCCTCAAAAAAGATTGTGATCCAAAAAACTACCATGTGCAGCAGCCTACAATTGGAAAAACCCAATGTCTATCCCAAAGTCTACCTTATAAGGCCTGGGAAGATTCTTCTCCTTCATCCTCAAGTACAGGAGGCAGCTAATGGTGGTCCCATAGGTGAGCCAGCCTGTGAGGCTGAAATGAAAGCATAAGCGACTTATTATCAGGTTCTGCCTTAGGTAAACCTGCAAGAGTAGCTGATCTACTGAGTACAAACATAAAACCACCGGATGCTGTTCTGGAGAAGAAGGAACAATCTCCTTCTGTACCAGTCAGGTCTAATTTGATGGTACACACACACACACAAAATAACAAAATTTAAATAAATAAATCCCTGAGTACAAACGAGAGGGAAAGGTTCAATTTTGTTATCCAGGTAAGGGGAGTGCTGAGGAGAAGGACGCTCAGTGGGAGGGCTGGAGAGTGCACATTAATCCATTCTGGCTACTTTTGTCTTCAGATACAAAGTGGCCTGCCCATAAACCCAGGCTTTGAGAGGCCCTTCCAGATCAGGCCTTCTCTGAGTGCTGCTGGATGGACAATATTCAAGAGGAGGGAGGAGGGGTTTGTTTTTCGGGAGGGGCAGTCCATTTTATTATGTGGTGAAATCTCAAAGAAGCCTGTGCTCCCCTTGGGCAACAGCTCTCTCATGTCTGAACTCCACAAACACTCCTGACAGCTTCCCTCAGGCTTGGTGACTAAAGGCAGGACACCCTACACAAGCCCCTTGCCTCTGCCTTCTCCAGTTTGCCTTTCTGTGGTTAAAGAAGAGCTAACGAAAACTCCATCTACCTTAGAGGCTGGGCTTAGGGAGCAAGCTGTCCCTTAAGGGTGTCAAGACTGAGAGCACCAAGGCCTAGTCAGGGTAGATATTCTAGAATTCTCTCAGTGCTTGTAAAGACTCAGTCACATCATCCAATTCTAACCTGAAGACTCCTTATACTCATCAGGTACTTAATTTTGTTCTCACTGTATGGTGATTTTATTCTTTCTCATGGGAAAAAAAGAGAAAAGGAACAAACCAGTGATTTTGCCTATTTTTTTAAGGAAGTCATATCAAGCACAGTGTGTCCAGTTCTAGAGAATTAATTACACTTGTTGCAACAAAGCAAGAGAACATGTGGTATTTAAAAAATGACTCTGAGAATTCCCTCAGCGTGCAAACATTCTGCTTGTGGCTGCTTTACAGACCTACCCATTGAACCTGATGTTCAAAAGAGGTTGTAAAATGATAACTGGATATCAGAGCAGTACAATCATTTATGCCCCAAGAAGGGCAATAAAAGGAGCCAGCACATCTCTCTGCTTTGATGTGGTGGCTGGTCGTTCCTAGACAGCTTGGCTGCAAGTCTGTCCCGAGTTAAAGAGAGACATCTTGAGGCCAGAGTCCAGAAGCCAAGTTCAGACCACAAAGGAAAAATCATACTTTAGCCAAGGGCTGCAAGTGCTATGGGTAATTCCTGAATATTACTTGACATTATCTTGGAGAGAAAATGAACCATTTTTAAAAAGCTAGAAATACCCAACAAACCGCCTTGTCCCCTCCCCACTCAAAAAAGTAGCAAAAACAGTACAAGTTTTTAACTTGTCTGTCCCTTGTTCTTCTAAATAGCTGTCAAATTGAATATCCAGAAAAGGTAATGGAGGAGGGAGTCACATTTCATTTTGGAAACATGGCTGGGTGAGGAAATGCTTTCACATATATGAAGGTGAGGAGCCAAGACTGTTGGAAGTGTGCACATATATGTCTGTGTTGTCTCTGTGTGTGTCTACCTAGGCTGAGGCTACAGATAGCAGGCCTGGGAAAACCCTCTCACTTGCCTCAGGAAGTTCACGATGGTGATGAAGTTTCCTAGGATGATCAGGACCAGAGCCACAGTCGCGGTGAATAGCAGTGCTGGTGCTGGCGTGAGGCAGTGCAGGTGAACCATGGACAGGAGCCGGGGCTGAGAGGCAGAATCAGATGGAAGGCAGCCCCCCAAGGACAAGGGCAATGAGGAGCTCCCACCCACTCAGCCCTGCCCCGTGCATTCTGTGTACCAGTATGCTTGACCCCATGTTGACAAGAGCTTTCGGGTGTACGCCTCTGTGATTTACCTGGGGTGGCCAGGCCTGGGGTATAGACTGGGAGGGAGACCAAAAGCCTGTGCCTCCAGCTCTCTGGGGCCCCAAATCCCATAGGCTGTGGGACTGGAGTGTGGAGAACTGGAGCAGACGTCTGACCAGGTCTGACTTCACTTCCAAATAAGGAAGAGAGATCAGGAAGGAGAGAAAAGAGGAGAAAGGATAAGAGGACGGGGCGGGTATAAGTGGTTTATGTGTTGGGACAGTGGGTGATTGCGGAACAGTGTTTAGTTGTTCAGCAAATACTTGGTCTCCTTTTCCACACCACCATGGAAGCGCTTTAATTTGCCATCCATTGGTGTGGAGCTTATTCATGTCACTTTGACCAACGGAAGGTGAACACAAATGACGTTAAGAAGCTCTAATGCTTTGTCCCCTGAACCTCTAGCACTTGCTGTAAGCTAACATGTACTAGGGAATTTCTATTGCTTTGACTTGGGTCAAGAATGAGAAAACACACCCATAGTTTGAATCTGAGCCACAGTTGACCCATTCAGCTCATGAGCCAAAAAAAAAAAAAAAAGTTTGGTGTAGGTCACTGAGAATTTGGGGATGTCTGTTCTTGAGCTTTATTGCCTCAAATGCGGCAGAGTGTAAGGTGGCTAGGCCCCTGAGGGAGCTGGTCCAGAGGGCTTGCCTTGACACTAGCCCCGTCTCTCCTGCCCACTGTTCTCTTCACTGGTGGTGAGCACAACCTCCACACAATGTGAACCCAGTATTGCGTTCTTCCAAACTTAAAATGGAAAAAGCTTGAAGAAGAGGTGCATGCAATGTTTGATTCCTGTTCTCCAAAGTGGATATGCCTTATTGAGGAAGTTCCAGTTAAAGCTTAAATAAATACTAAACTTTGCACAGGAGAAGGTTTGGCTTGCTGATCTCCTCAGCACCCTTCCCACTTAGCCCCACCACCGGTCCCCACCCAGGCTCCATTTCTTACCATATGTCCCTCTCGTCCAGCTGCATAACATACACGGCTTCCACTGAAGAACACTCCATTTACAGAACCAAACGTTGAGAGCATGACAGCCAAGGGTACAATCCAGGCCCAGGTCTCTATAACCTGGTTCCTGGGACAACACAAGGATCAAGGGGGAAAAAATCAGTCGGGAGCCTGGAAGACTGTAAGGTGACATGATGAAATGGAAGACGTTCATTCTGAGGCATGGTTAGGCAAGCAAGGAACATCATGGGAGATCTGCCTCTTAGAGTATCTGCTCTGTGTCCATTCAGCAATCCATCTGGCAGCATCCAGACATCCTTGTTGCCCATAGCCTTTATCTACAAGAAGTCTTTTTGGAGAGCACAACCTTCTAACTCACACAGTCAGGCCTTGTGCTGATTGCCAGTGGGATTCTTGACTGTGGCACTTGGCCAAGAACTTCCCAGATCGTTTCTGACTTACGCTATGTTTGTCTGACAATGTTCTATATTCCTGTGCTACCTCTACTTCTCTAATTGTCATGCTTCCTCATCTTCCCTCTTTTAAGACTCTATCACAAGTCCTTCTTGCTTGGTGGAAAATGTGAGCTCCATCCACATTCTTTCCAGTAAGGAAATTTCCATTTGCAAAGACATGTAGACTCATTGAGAACTGCTGGGAGAAGAGGAAATATGTATTTGAAGGAAGGACCTGAAGGGGGAGAAAATGCCTAGATTTGACCCCTACAGGTGCCATTGGTCAATCAGCTCCCCTTCCCCTTATGTTATCCGTCCCATCCCTTCTCCTATCACATCCTTGTTACGCTCTGTCTAGGCCTATATCAGAGACCTCCACCCTTCACCCTCCTTTCCTCTCCCTGGGCCTCCCTGCTCTGGGTTGACCTAGTGCAGAGTAGTACTTTGATCTTGTCATCACTTGCTCTATCTCTAACAATAGATTCAAACCCAATTCTGACTCCAATTTCCTTCCACATTAGCTGACTCCCTTCACTTAGTTTCCAAGATTCTTCAGGGTAGTCCTTGGACCTTTATCTCTGATCTTGAGATGGACTTCCTGGTAAAAAAAAGAAACCAAAAAAACCCTTCATGCCCTTCTGCTCTTTCTCCATGCCACAAATGTTCTATCACCTCTCAGTCAGCCCTAAGTCTACTTACTTGTTTAGACATGGTTCCACTTCTTTTAAGAACTCCCAGTTTACCTTATTCAACTTTCACATCTCTGAAGCCCTAGGGAATTTCAGCCTAAACCATATAATTTAAACTGTGACTGTAATCTATATGGTGGTCTCCTCAGATAACCTGTGAATTCTTCTAGAATAGAGGCTATATCCACAAATCAGCGTCCCCCACAATTTAGCCCAACTAGGGATCCACTAAAATAAATCTAGATAGATCTCAGCAATGAAATATAGAATCAGATAAACACAAAATTTAGTTAAGTGCCATTCAGATAACACACTGTTTAGTTAAGTGTCTTTGAGTCAGAACAAACTCATAGTTGACCCTCCAGAAGGTTTTCAGAAGCTGTAAATTGTAGGGGAAGCGATTGTCCATCTTCTTTATCCAGAGCCACTGGTAGATTTAAATGGCCTACCTTGTGTGGACAGAGTGTCCACTAGGCTACCAGAGCTCTCCTAGGGTAAAACTTAATGGTAGCCAGCCATACAGTACAGGTACTCAAAAAGGATTTCAAAGTTGTATTCAAGAACAGATCAAGTGAACCCTGGGATCTGACAACGTGCCCTCAGAAGCCAATGTAAGAAAATGAAGAATGGTCTGGATGCCAGATCAATGAATTTGAGCAACACGTGGACTGCTGGGAAAACAAACGGGTTTATGCTGGTGGAGAAGGTTAAGCCAAGCTACTCCTAGGAAGCAAGGTTTCTGAAGCTTCATCTGACATACTTTGGGCATGTTGCAAGGAGGGACCAGTACTTGGAGAGAGACATCGTGCTGGGAAGGGTGGAGGGACAGCGCAAGCTCAGTGACTGGGATAATGGGAGTAGGTGTCTCAGAGACACTGAGGTTGGCCCAGAAGAGAGTAGGGTTCACATAACAGCAGCAAGTTGAAGGGACTCTCCAATTCTCAGGCTTGTCCCACTCAGAGACCTTGCCTACTTCCTGAGTAAGGGCTCAGTCTCATCCAGGGACACAGCAGGTGACTCACTCACCCCCAGCTTACAGCCAATGCATCAGAGGAGAGGATCTCATTGGGGGACAACACTAGCAGATAACTGATATTGACCAGGATGTACAGGCCAGTGACCAGTGGAATGGCGATCATCAGCGCCCACACCAAGTTCTGCTGCAGAGAGAGGGAGAAAAAGACACATTGTCACCAATGCCTTCTTTCTCAGGGCCCCCACATAAACTCAAGAGCACAATACTGGGCTCAGCTTGGACACAGGATATTGTGCCAGATGCTGGGAGAGGAATCAAATTGGATGCCTGTTCTTATGAGCCCACAGTCCCCATGGTATGGACACACATGTAGAAAGGATATATTGAGAGTCTGTGAAGGGCATGAATTAGAGTCAGTGTGGAGCTACAGAGAGACTGACAGAGGTGGGGAGGAGGGAGGAGTTAGAACACTTCCTGAATGACAAGGTCTTAAAACAGGCCCTGGTGAAGGCAAATGGGAAGGAGAAACATTCCCAACAGAAGTTAACTACAAAGGCCTAGGCAACAGAGAAAAGACTAGCGCGTTAAAGACCTTGTCAGTCTATCGTTCACACATCAACCTAACTGGAGTAATGCAGGACCAAATATTACAACTCTTTCTTGGTCCCTAGGATTCAGACCCAGACTGAGGACCATTACTTATAATGGTTCCACTCTGACCCCCAGTTTCTTTTTCAGCTGAAGTTGGGAATCACTGTTGGTGTTAGCTGCTGTCAAGCTGACCATGATTCATAACAACCCTGCGAACTCTAGATTGGAACTTTGTCCTGTCCTGAGCCAGCCCCGCGGTCTCTGCCATCCTCAGGCCCATTGTTGCAGTCACTGGGTCAATCTCTCCCCTTGAGGACCACTGGGCACTTCTGAAATGGAACTAACTCTTCCCTGCCCTGGCTCTCTGCATGTTCTGAGCATCAGTTAATATGATGAAGAAAGGCTCCTGACATGAGGTTATGACCATTTAGACTGGTTTTCACTATTGGAACCTCAGCATCCAGCTAACCCACAGTTACTTTTTTTTCTTCTTCAAATTAATAGAATTTTATTACAAGAATCAGATGCATTTTGAAATCAGATGCATAGGATTTGACTGGCCTCATTTCTTTTGTTTTAATTTATTATTAATTTCAGTAAAAATTTACAGAGACTTTGGATTTCCATTCATTCATTGTTGCACTTTTCTCCCCTCCCAACCCTCCCCACTACTACACTACCCTCTTGGAAAAGTAAAAGAAAAATTCTTTCATTGTTTTACAATCCCTCCCCCCAGGACCACTCCACCGTGTGCCTTCGCTCTAGACACCTGTCATGACAAAAATACCTAATCACATATTCCTTTTAAACAGTTTTCTCCCTCATCTGTTTCAATGCAGTATACATTACTGAACCCATCTTTCTCAGTCTCTCCCCAATTCCAAGGTCAGTCCTGTTTTACAACAGTGGCAGCATGCAGTGTTTGTCCTTTTGTGACTGAGATACT